AATATAGATTTGTTTTTTGTACTGCCAAGGCTGTTATCACTGTTATTGGGGGAGGGAAGGCGTGTGTGTGTGTGTGTGTGTGTGTGTGCGCGCGCGCGCGCGTTACATGGAATGTAAACCTTATATATGGTTTTGTTTTTGTTTTTGCTAATCTATTTTACAAGGTATTTTTGTCTATGTTCTTCAGTGTAAGTTGCTTGGAGATCTGTTAGGTGATAAGATGCCAATAAGTTTAATAATTAATTATAATTAATTAAATTTCTAAACCACCTTCACCTGAGGACCCACGGGGCCCATTTCAATATAAACAAACAAAAATACACAGCACAATACTGAACAAAAACAATAGCCTCCCAATAATTTAAAAGGCCATAGATTGTTTAATTGGCCAAAGGCTAATAATATTAATTTCACACTGGCTCCTCAACCTGAGGCTGTGTACACAATACCATTTACTCCAGCTCCAGTGTGCTTCCACCGATGGTGCTTGAAGTTGTGCACACATGACAACAGCTACACTCCATAACTATTCTGCAGTCTCTCAAGAAATACTGCTAACTAATGTGTCTTCCCTCGTACCACCTCCTGTCCGATTTGAAAACATAAGCCTCACAAACTGCACAGTTAAGCTGAGGTGTGTACATTTCAGACAACCGCTGCACATGCGCAGACCAAAGCGTATGTGCGGATGACAACTTCATGAATGGGAGTCCAGGGGGTTGCAGGTGCAGGGATACCCAACACGTAATGTACATCAGGTGAAGACATCCTCCCTCTCTCTCTCTGGTGTGTACAGCAACATGCCAATGCAACTTGAAACACAACAAAGTGTAACAACCTCGCTGTGTTTTAAGTCGCTAATGTGGATACAGCCTGAATAACTTGTTCCATTGGTATGGAAAGGGCTACTTGCAGACTCCAAACTTATCAACCTAATTACTAGGTGATGGGACCGCCTACCACTTTCCAAACTCCTTTATCTACCTGGGTCACACTGCACAGTTAAAGCACACTTACTCCATTTTTAGCAGTCATGGAGAGTCCTGGGAACTGCAGCTTCTTAAAGTTACTGGGAATTATAGATCCGTGAGGTCAGTGCTCCTAGCATACTACAGTTTCCAGGATTCTTTGGGGGAAACTATGCCTGTTAAAGAGTGCTTTGAATGTATGGTGTAGATGTGGCGGGTCAGTATCTGCTTGTCTCTTTATCTTCAGCTCTACTAGTGATAAAAGTGATGTTTTGGTTTTTCCCTCTTTCTCTGTAAACATTATGTATATACCAGTAAAACTGGGCTACGCTAAATATATTCATTTATAACACAGATCAAGGCATCACCAAACCAGAAGAAGATAGGTAACTTTTCAAAGTCACATATAATAATTATTTTTACTGCAATGCACTTTGTTGTCTCAACACCCAGGCACAAATAATAACCTATGCATTCACAAGGTATAAGTATCTACAGGAAAACCACTGTGGATGAGGACTTGAGCACTGTTTGCATGATGGGAAAATTACCTTCCTGCCTGCTTAGGCACCGCCTTATGTTCTTGTGTCAGTCGTGTCTCTCAACAACTTTTGTGCTCATGAAAACCTTCTGACATGGCACAGTCTTCAGATCTGGCAAACCACTGCAGTTTTTGCACAGCAGAACTGAAATATACTTTTAAGCTCCCCATTTCTTACCTGGCTTTGTGCAGTTCATTTCTTCATGTGACTCATTATTTGATGCCATCAATCTTCTATTCCTCCATAACTCTGACAGGATATTTCTGTCGACAAGAGTTGATTCTTGTCCTGTATAAAAAGACAAACACAGTATTTGCACCGGCAAAAATAAAAATAAAAATGCTGTCCCTATATATCTATATATTTAAATTTTCACTAGATCAGCCTTCCCCAATCTGGACTCCAACTCCCATCAGCTTTCAGACAGCATGGTCAATGTTCAGGGTAGATGGGAGATGTAGTCCAGCAACATCCACTGGCTGCGTTAAGATAAAGGTTCTCTGTGACTAAAGCAAAGCTTGGCATCTTCTGTTGGTAAACAACACATTATATAAGGGTTGATGCATACCGGAGAACAAGCTGTGCTAAGGGGAAAGAGCCATTTTGGTATAATGGTATGAGTACTGAACTCTGGCTGAGGAAATCTGTAATAATCCTGATTATAATGCAAGTCTGAAAAACCTAACATTATATATATATCTAATGTTCAAGTCAGGCGACATGAAACTGAGGCCAGCAATCCCACTAAAAGCAAGCCAAGCCACACAGAACAAGCATTAAGAGCTCTGCAAGACCAAACGAAAGGCGTACGTGGTCCATTCTCTTTTCACAGTGGCCTAGCTATGGGAAGCCTGCAAAGAGGATGTGCATGCAATACCACTCTCCCCACTTGTGTTCCCCAGCAACTGGTATTCAGAGGCATATTGCCTCTGAATCAGGTGAAACCATCAAGGCATGGATAGCCTTGTCCTCCATGAATGGTGGCCTGTGGAAGTTCTACACACCAAAACACATTTGAACGGAGAGAAAACGGATTTTCAGTTCCAACCAGGAAAGGCGGTTCAAACACAGGCCATTTTACATAATAAGCACTGTGTGGAAATTCCTTTTCAACAATTCTTCAATCAGGAAAGAGAAGGGTTCATTGGAAGACACGGAGTTACCAATTGTTTGCAGACTGTAAAGTGGATATGCTTCATATACCAGATAAGATTTAAAGTTTATCATTCTTGAACTAAATGCACCATATAAGTTATTTAGATTGCAAACACACCAGTTTGTCCCAGAGTAGATTACCTGCAATAACCTTATCATGATCACTTGGTGCTCCAATCTTAGATAACTATGCAAATGTCTGGCAGTGAATAAAAAAGAAGTTTGCGTTGCAAGTAATATCAGATTGAAAGAGAAAATAAATGAATTGAAAGAGAAAATCGACTTGGAAATATGCCCCTTGACAAATGGCAAAACTGACAACAGTGGTCTCAGAGCAGTTTTCTTGGCTAGCCACATGAATCTAGACTTGCCACTTTTCTTATAAATGTATACATTAGCAAGATCAGCGAGTTGCTACCCAAGCTAAGGCAGTGTGTTAGCTTTCAGACTTGCTCTACCTTCATGCATCAGCTGATGGCTGATGTGGGTTTAAAGATGTTTATGGCCCCTAACAGATTACCCTTAAGAGGAATGTGGCCCTCTACGGAAGAAAACACCCTCCTCTGTGGAACGCATCTATCCCTAACCTGGAGTGGAGGGAGAAGTTCAAAAACTATAGCAAAACTGACTGGGTGGGGAAGATGTAGTGGTGACAATTAAGTGTCTGCTGCACCAGGCCAGTGGCCCCTCTAGTCCAGCTTCCTGTTCTCACAGTGGCCAACCAGCAACTGGTACTCAAAAGCATTCAGTACTGCCTCCAACAGTGGATGAAAAATATATTATCCATCACAGCTAGTAGCCACTGGTCGCCTAACCCCTCATTAGTTTTTCTAACCCTCTTCCAAAACCATCCAAATTGGTGGCAAGAAGCCAATTCCGTAGTTTAACTACGTACTGTGTGAAAAAGTACATTCTTCCAACATTGCACTACCCAAAAAGTCTCAGCTTCCCTCATTCAAACTGTACCCAAAAAACCAAACATGAAGAACTTTGTTCCCCCCCCCCTTTTTATAACAGCCTAGAAAAATGCATTTGCTATTAACGCCATGACAGCTCCATCATACCACCTCTTCCACTGTTAAAATATTACATCTGCCTTCATTCTCTCTTTCTTCAGCAACAATATGGGCTTGGTCCTTAGGTACTAGATATGTTTTTGTATCATCGTCCTTTTGGGGGCTTGCAGATTCTCAGGGGGCAAAGGTTTATTACATTACGATTGGTACAGAAGGAAGATTCACGATTAAACGTATCGTTCAAGTGACCTTCTTTCCGATAAGGAAACTGTGGACCCAATAAAATATGAAATGCTCCAACAGACCATAGAGTTCAAGGCTCTAAACCAGCACTCTCCCTGTTTTTGCATGAGGTTGCCCTTTATAGATATTCAGAAGTTTTTGCTAGTGCAGATTTTGCAGGTTTGCTTTCTTCCTGAAAGGGAGGGGGAGGAATACAAACATCAGCATCTGTGCTCCCTCCCTCTAATACTCTCTTTTTAAAAAAAAAACCAACAACCTATAGTTTATTCAAGTTCTCATATTATTACAATAGAACAGAATGCTCCTTCCACTCCTCCTCCTTCATTAAAGTATTTTCATGCCTGGTATTCAGTTGCTTAGAGCCCAACCCTCCAACTAGACTGGGATCAAAACAAAACCGCTCTGAAACAAGAAGGAGCTATCGCCTTGCTCAGGTATCTTAATGCACAAGTACACTTTTTTTAAAAAAGAGGGGAGCAAAATACCCCCAAAAAACCAAGCCCAATATAGACACAGCATGCTCAGTGTTCAGCAGAAGCCACAGAATGTTAAGAGTTAGCTGGAAGCCAACAGAAAACTCTTGACTGGCTAACTTGAGCCTCTCCCAGTTTATATATTCTGGAAGAAAGCATGGTTGGTTGCTGGAAAACTGAACAGGAGCACTCCTGTAAGGGACCAAAGGCAAAATGCAACATTTTCTTTGCCTGTTCCACTTTATTTATTTATTTAAAAAATATATACTGCTTAATTGTAAGTAAAACCGCTTGTGACTCATTATCATTCAAGATTAACTGAAGTCTGATTCTAACTTCTTTCCATTGTTTTGACCCTGCCTACTTAGAAGGCTTAGTCATGCTGGCCACATGACCCGGAAGCTGTACGCCGGCTCCCTCAGCCAATAAAGTGAGATGAGCGCCACAACCAGAGAGTCAGCCACGACTGGAACTAATGGTCAGGGGTCCCTTTACCTTTACTTATTTAGAAGCAACTCAAATCACAGATTTGCAGAGTTGGAAGCAACCACGAGGCTCATCTAAGTCCAACCTCCTGCAATGCTTTCTTTCACTCAACATGAATCTTTCACTCAATGTGAGGCTCAAACCCACGACCCTGGGATTAAGAGTCTCACGTTTTACCCAACTGAGCTACTCCCAGGTAAATGGGGTTGGAGTGCGGCTTTAGGCATTTAACCAACCTCCTCCTTGTTGTCCCATCAAAAAATGTCTGAAGCCACTCAACAGTGCCCTCTTAACAAAACCATATGTTCTCCAAAGTAGAACAGCAAGAGAATGCGTAGGGAAGTCCATAGTTATTGCCATGTGAGTGGAGAAGTTGTGTACCTTGCTACTGAAATTCCCTTTGTCTGGAGACTAACAAAAGCCAAACAATTTCTGGAATTATTTACTGTCCACACTTAAAGTTTAGGGGCATGGCCAAATGGGGTTTTAGCAAAGTGTTTTGATCAAATAGCTACAAAAACTGGATACTTATCCTACTGATACCTGTCTCTGCCTTGTTTTCCTAGGGATGGCATAGTGCAGGGATACTTATATATGAAGTACTAATAATACATTACATTCAAATAGCATATTTTGGTGTCCAAAATGCTTTATGCACATATCTCAGTAAGCCTTGCAACAACCCTGTAAGGTAGATCAGTGTTATCACATACACACATCCATATTAATAATAATAATAGTCTTGAAAGAATAATGGAAGGACCGAAGGCAAGGGACCATAGGTCAACAAGTAGAGCACCTATTCTGCAAGCAGTCCCCAAGTTCAGTCCCTGGCATCTCCAGATAAGAGGATCAGATGGCAATGTGACATGAAAAACCTCTGCCTGGTGCCCTGGGGGAGCCACTACTCATCAATGTAGGCAATACTGCACCACAATGACAAACAAGTCTTTATTTTGTCAGGCAGCTTTCTAAGTATCCTGAGCGTTTGTGGCAGAGGTAAAATTTGAACCCATAGCTGTGTCCTTTAGGCAACAAGGCAGAGCAGATTTCAGGGAACTAAAGCTGAAAAAAGGGAGGCATGGATCTGCAGAGAAGAGGTCTGAGAAAACTGGACAAAACCTTCAGAGAAGGACATCTTTATGTTACCCTTAATCCTAATCCTTAATTCACTGTGCATGTTGCCTTTCAGTTTACACTACTGAGAACTGAAAGGTGATTTTTTAAAAAGCAGAATTTGGTATGTGGCTTCGCTTGCTTGAACGTAAGAGGAGCCCTGATGGATCAGGCCAAAGGCGCCTCTACTCCAACTCTCTGTTCACAAAGCAGGCAAACAGATGCCTATGGGAAGCCTGCAACAGGAGATGCGTGCAACAGTGCTCTTCTACCTTGTGATTCCCAGCAACTGTTATTCACAGGCATGCTACCTCCAACCACTGTTGGAACGACATAGCCGTCATTCTGCATCCTCCATAATGTGTGGGGTCACTTGCCAGAGGGCTGTTGGGTTTGCCTTCTGTTTGAGCACCCTCTGCCCTTTGCTTGTTAAGGTGACCCATTAATGATCTATGGCCCGGGAGAGGACCCAAAATCCAGAAGTTGCCTTTTCATTTGATTCGGGGACTTTCTGATTTACAGCTCACCCTGATGTAGCACAATCCTATGCATGTTCACTTGAAATTAAGTCCTATTAACTTCAGTTACTCCAGCTAAGAGTGTATATGATGCCCCATCCTTGGCCGTGAAGCTGTGCCAGCTTTTAACAGGGGAAGCCACAGAAGGAATATTTATCTTTCCCAATGGCCACGCACGTCTACTTCCTGGTGTGGCTTTTGATGCTGTACTTCCCCAGCACCTGCTGTTAGCATCAGGATAAGTAGCACAGCCGTGGCTAAGCTAAGGAGGCCTGCCAACACCGGCCTCACAGGTCATTCCTTTAATAACTACCTGGGCCCTGGCAGACTAATGTTTGGAACAGCCTGCTTTTCTGGCAACAAAGGGAGGAGCCACCGCACCTGCCAAACTGACTCTCTCATTAAAGGAACAGGAGTCCCATTGGTGGGGGAAGGGGAGGAAGTAGCGCTACAGCAAAGGTGGTGAGATGTCCATTTATTTAAGAGCCTATTGTATTTCTGTAGTTCGGGAACACCTGCTTTCTGATTTGACCCTGCTTTGTCAAACTCTACAGAACAGAGAGCAAAATTCCTTGGTTCCTTCCCCCACCTCCACTCCATCCCCATGTTGATCTGGCAACCCTTGTTCTAATCTGCCCATTTTGGAATTACTGTTCTAAGCCTACAGCAAGCAGCACAGCAGGCAAACAGAAAATATTTCAGCGGGGTTTTTTTGCATCAACTCAGCTTGCAAGGCAGGAATGAAGCACATTAGATCGGCGGCAGCATTTTCCAGCAAAATCTCTCTTTCTCTGCTGAAAGTTGTCAGTTGGGGCTGTAGCTTTTATGCAACATATAATAAATGGGACACAAAGTCATCAGGTTCTCTTCCTCATCAGGTTTGTTCTGTTCTTCCTACATTTCCAAACTAATACTTAGCCACAGTCATTCGCACATTATATTTATTAGTCATAAAAAAAATCACTCCTAAAATGGGATCCCACGTCCCAGGGAAATATAATGTTCTGTTTCAGAAATGTTCCATCTACTCATCATCTCCAGATCTGACTCTGGAATTCACAGGTATGGAATCAGTTTGAATGCACAAGTCACAGGACTGTTGCAAAACTGAGTGTACATGAGTTTATACGGATATGCTGTTGTTTTTTCCTAGATGGAAGTTCGTTCCTCTATGAAAAAAATGTACACAAATCTGCCTTGTATTGCTGGTAGCTAATCCTTAACCATTTCCTCAGATATTCAGGAGCAATCTCACCCTTATGAACCTATAAGCATGAAGCATTATCCCATGGGTGACAAAGGATGCAATCCTAAACATACTTGCTCAGGAGTAAATCTCATGGACTCTTCTGAGTAAGCATAGCATAGGATTTTACCGCAAGCAGGACCTAAGAACTGCCTGACACTTCACTATTCCTACTGGCAGAAGATTCGGGACAAAAGTCGGGGGGGAGCACTTCGTCACACAATAGTGTAATTCACTTGTGGAACTCATTGCCACAAGATGTACTAGTGACATCCATTAGCTTAAATGGCTTTAGAGCGGGGGAAGATGGCAAATCCACTGAAGAGAACGCTGAGAATGACCCTAGTTAGATGGGCTGTACAGCTTCCAGAGGCACTTTTGCTTTTGACTATTACCAGTTGCCTCCACATCTCACTTGCGGGCTTCCCAGGTGAATCCAGCTTGTTGCTCCTGTAGGAAACATGGTCCTTTGCTTTGATCCCACTGCATACACACTGTACATTGAAAGCCCCTAAGAATCCCAGGAAGTGTGGTGGGATGAAGGTCAATCTACAATTCCCAGGACTCTTGGGAAATGTCTGGGGGTACACAGGATCGCCCAGGTGTGCATGCATGCCTGGTGCCCCAACAGCTGTTGCGCTGGCAGGGAAAGCATCCTGGCCAGATTTGGGGAGAGGGAGATAAAGGACACAGGCAGCTGCTACCTTCTGTTTCTGCCAGCTCAGCCTTTAGCCACCCACCCACCAGGGGTGCCAACTTGAATAAAATACGGGGGGTGGGAGGTAAACCCCTCCCCACATAATTGATCACATGGTGTGATGCATGGACACAATTTGAATGGCAATTCCCATCAACTTTGGGCTGCCCCTCTCAAATATTTCACTGGGGGAAAGGAAGAGACCCCCAGCCCCTAGGAGTTGGTTCCGATGCACCCACCCACCCTTCCCAACCCATCCCTTGCGGCCAGCCACCTACCTAGCTTAGACAGCAGGGTGGACATGCCCCAGACGAAGAATAGGATCGCGCAGATGAAGCCGACCTGCTGCAGGAGCATCTCCCGCCTCTTGCGAACTTTCCTCAGCTTGAAGAGGGGCGCCTTCGGCGGGCCGCTCGGCTGCACTTCCAGCCCCATGGCGACCCCGGGGCTCGCTGCACAGGGTTGGGAGGTCCTGCGGGTCAAGAGGAGGCAGCCTCCTTCTCCCCCCACCCCTCCGCGCCTTCGCGAGCGGGGCTCACTTGCGGGGGATCCCCGCGGAGGGCTCCATCCCCACGGCCAAGAGCCGGGTGCGCCTCAACAGGGAGTCACAGGACGGGGGGCGGGGGGGGGGGGGGCGGGCCGGTGCGCAGCAAGGCAAAGCCTCCTCGGCAGCAGCAGGTGGGGAGTTCGGGGTGGCTTCGCGAGCTCTGCTCAGGCTCAGGAGCCCGTCGTCGCCCCACGGCAGGCCTGGCGCCGGAGGCAAAAAAAATTAAAAGATCCAGGCAAGAAATCACCGCCGGCGATGGAGAAGCAGTTGCAGTTGCAGCAGCAGCATCCAGCAGCTTCCCTCCACAGCGGTGGCGGGGCGGAGGTGGGAGCCGAAAGTGCCCTTGAAAAACCCCACGCAAGCGCCGCTTCAGGACAGAGAGCGATCAGGACCGCAGCAGCGCAGCTCCGCGCAGCATCCCGCTGGAAAGTTTAAGTGCCCCCTTCCTTCCCTCGCCAGCGGCTTGCGAAGCATCAGCGGCGGCAGCGGCGACTCTCCTCCGCCTCCTCCTCATGAGGCTCCACATCCCTCTGGCGGCTCGGAGTTGTTGGGCTCCCGGGCGCACCAGCCACGCGCTCTCCGCCCCCTGCCCTTTTCTCCGGGCGTGGACCCACCAGCAAGGGGCAAGTTCCTGCGCTGGCTGGGCCGGCCGGGTGGCTTGCAAAGCCTCCTGGTCCTCCTCTTTATCCCGCTCGCGGGCAACTTTGTCTCCCTCAGAAGCACCTCAGCGCTTCCCTCAACCCGCGCAAAGCCACCCCCCCACATACACTCACTCGCCCGCGCAACCAACGCGCATGCGCCTCCTCTCCGGGCACCACAGGGTCCCCTCTGCGCCTCGCGCTGACGGTCACCTGCAGAACTGTTTGTGCATTTTCCCGCGCTCGGTTCTTCGCGGTGGGCGGGGGGAGAGAAGGAGGAGCAGGAGGGGATTAACTGACCAAATTAATCTTTTCCCCTAAATGGCGCAGGAATTATCTCTTCTCTATTTAGCGCTTGGCAAGTGCTGTGGGTTCGGGGATGAAGCGTGCAAGAGCATGTGCTTGCGCCGCTGAGCCCAGCCCTGTCACACTCA